GGCTTCCCATCCCACCCTCCCATGGCCATCCGCACCCTCACCCTTTCTTCTCTCGCCCTGCCCCCAGCATGGAGGTGGGGGTCTGCGCCGAGGCGTACGGCCAGGAGATGTCTGTCAGCCGAAGGCACATCAACAGCGCCTTCATGACCTTCGTGGTGCTGGACGAGGAGGGCCGGCCCCGCACCCTGCCGATGGTGGCACCCGAGCCGGGGGTAAGGATGGGCAGGGCTGGCTTCTCCCCACCGCGGTGGCACGGGACCCCCGGGAATCCCGCTTAGCCCTGAAAGGCTCTCGCATTCACGGCAAAACATGTGCAGTCTTATGATGATGGAAATCAAATTGCTCAATAGCAAGTGAATTAAATTGATTGCTCAGTATAACTACTAATAAAATAAACTACTTTTCCTGTGCAGAGATGGAGACATATTAACCATGCAAGGCTTAGCAGAATATTGCCTGCAAGTTCAGGCTCATCTTTTCTATAATTTAGGGGAAAGAATGCAAACCTCTTAGGTTGTTTTTACCTTTCAAAGCATCTTGATCCATAATTTGCTGGGATCCAAATATTTAAGATAATCTGCCATGTGAGCACGGCAGGGAAGCAAATACCTGCATGTCTTGGGGTACATTGTGAGCGAGCGACAGCGTCACCTTCCCCTTGGCTGAACCATGCCCACCTACTTGATTTTCTGATGCCGTGAAACTACAACTCTTCTCCCACCCTGCAGGCGAGCATCTCACGGCTGGAGCTGGGCTCCCTGAAACCTCCTTTCCACCTGCTTTAAAGCACTGTCCTATTGCTTTCTTTGAAACAGGCTGCTTTTTTGGGGGTTTTATTTCCCCGGGAGGGGACGTTTGCAGTGCTAGAGGACGTGATTTGTGTTTCAGCGGCTGTTTGCAGCTCTGCAGCCGCAGAGAGGGTTTTTTTCCTAATGTGCCGATGCCCGTCACTGTGATGCTTGATCACAGTGAGCGGGAGCGATGCCGAAATAGCTCTCAGTTAATCACTAACCACCGCTGCCAGCGTAGCCGGGGCAGCAGCCGGTGACCGCAGGGGCTTTTCACTGCTGAACGTTTTGCCCACTCCCAAAAAGACATCTGGGTTTTTTTCCCCCTCGTTTTCCTGTTAACCTAATGTGCTTTTCCCATTTATCAGGATGGAGAGAGGAGGTACAGAGAAGCCAGTGCTAGGAAAAAAATTCGGCTGGACCGGTGAGCGGAAAAAGCAAGTGGGATGCGGGGATGGAGGGAGAGGGAGAGGCGGGCTCGGCACTGGGGTACAGGGACAGTCTGCACGTGGTTTGTGTCCCACTGTAAGGGAAACTGTTCCTTTCCTGCAGAAAATACGTCGTCTCCTGCAAACAGACCGAGGTGCCGCTCTCCGTGCCCTGGGACCAAAGCAACAAGGTAGGGTGCCGCCCCACGGGGCCGCTGCCTCCTGCCCCCTTCCTGCCCCTGACGTGCTGCCCCCGCCCCAGGTTTATCTGAGCTACAACAACGTCTCTGCGCTGAAGACGCTCGTAGCCAAAGCCAACTGGGCACTCGCCAGAGAAAAGGAAAAGGTACTAAATGCTGCCCCATCCCCCTGAGCTGCTTCTTGCCCCCAAAGCGTGGGCGTCCCAGGGGTTCGGCGGTGGCTGAACACGTCCCCGTGCTCCCCAAGGTGCGGATGTACACGCTGGAGGAGGACAAGTTCCTCTCCTTCCGCATCGAGATGGTGGTCCGCATCTCTGCCGGCCAAGCCTTCGCCCTGCTCTCCGACCTGCGGCGCCGGCACGAGTGGGATAGCCACTACGCGTGAGTGCTGCGGGGCTTCCGGGGGCACCTGGCCCTTTCCAAACCCCACACCCTTGCACTGAAGGCTCGTTGATGAACGTCTCTTTGGGCTTTCCTGGGAGCAAGTGGGTTGCCCCGGAGCCATGACCACTGCTAGAGTCCTTTCACCACGCGCCCACATCCCGGCTCCACCTGGGCTGATGGCTGCACTTTGCTGCAGAAAACACTTATTTCAGTACACCAAAACATTTTGGGTGCGGTGGTGGGCTGTAAATGTGTAAGCCCCAGACGTGGGGGCCACAGCGGGGTTTCTCTGACTGGTCCCCTCCCGCCTCGCAGGAGCGCCGAGCTCGTCCAGCAAGTAGATGATGACGACATGATCTACCACGTGGTGAGCCAGACGCTCAGCCGCGAGAACAAGCCACAGGACTTCGTCATCCTGGCGTCCCGACGGAAACCCTGCAGCAAGGGGTAACCGTCCCCGTCCCCGACCCCCTGCTCCCCGCCAGCCAGGCTGCGCCGGCTCACCAGGCTCTCTCCTCCCCAGGGACCCCTACGTGGTGGCCTTTCGGTCGGTGACGCTGCCCACCCACCCCGCCAGCGCCTGCTTCACGCGGGGGGAAACGCTCTGCTCCGGCTTCTGCATTTGGCCGGAGTCGGAGGAGACGAGCAAGGTGGGATGCCGCAGCCGTGCCGCGGGGCCGTGCTGCCCACACCCCGTCGGGGAGGCTCGCCCACCCCC